AAACGAGATTAAGAAACATCTGTTTCTTAACAGTAAAACAATAAAAGCCTAAGCTTATTAATAAAGTATCAGCTTCTCACTGCCCTTGTTTTCTTTTGCCTAAAAAGAATGTTCTCGCTCAAACCCAGACTTATTTTCACTTACCATGTATCATGTATTTTATTGAATTAGAGTCTCCGTTACTTCAATTTTCCCAAGTTATTTAAGCTTATTTAGTTAATGTATAATCTCCTAAATATTTGGCTCACGCGCAATGATCGGAATAAAGCTGTCAGCAGATGATACGATACTGGGAAATTTCGAATTTGGAAGCCAAGTCTCTCGGCTTTGCGGCTTCGCAACGAAAACAAACAAACAAACTAACAAAAAACTCTGGCTCCAAGGGTAATCCAAATTAACCTCGCTTTAAGAACACTGGTTATCTGCGACCGCGAACATTTTCAATTGTTACGATTATGTGCTAGTCAGCTTGTTATAGGTTAATGCCACTTAATTGACTGTCTGGCTCCACTTGCCTCTATGGCTATCCCTAGACTGCTCACAGCCCTCTGTTTTATCATATTTTCATCGTATTTTTAGCGCGCCGAAGGCGGGCGAGCGGAGCCCCAGACCTTAGAAAGTTTGGTAACCCATCGATCTCAAAAATTTTGTTTGTCACTTCACTTTCCGTACGAAAGTATGTACGTCCGTACGCCTGGCCCATAGCTTGAAAAATAAAAGAGTAGCATGTGCGCCATTACCATGCGCATAGTACATCTTTGATATTGGACATCCGTGTTATGATTAATTGACAGCAGTCAGAAAAAGACATTCGTTGACCAGTATTACGTGACCATATCGCGGGCTCAAGTTTAGGTTAAGAGCTCATCAAAGCCACGTGCTTTTTTGAAGTTGATAGCTGACCAGGTACTGGCCGGGCTTTTTGACTGGATCGCTCACAGGCCAGGTTAGTACTCTTTTGGAGAGGGAGGGAGTACATGCAAAGGCAAAATTTCGGCCCAAATTAACCCCTGGTACGTTGTTGACTTTTCCTTCGACATACTCCTTGAACAATTGTCTCTTAGAAAGTCCCTGATATTTTGCGAACGTAATTTCTATAATCGTGAAAAAATTGGGTACGCTTATTGGGTATAGTTTGTCAAAATTTAACTGGAAAAGATAGTGAAACCACACGCTGAACAGTTACATGCTCACAAGAAAAACAAATCTTCTTTTTCCATTAACACAATAGCTAACACAATAGACCTCATGCAACACGAGGCTTTGGGAAATAAACCCCAGAAACTCTATAGTTTTTCCCCAGAGCCTCGTACTGAGGTCTAATGTTTTAGGCTGAATTTTAATATATCGAAACTGGTCTATAATTGCAATCAGGAGCTCCGCTTTTAGGCCTGGGTAAATCTATTTATTATACAGACACGAGTGTTTTACTGGAAAATCCACCACTCGTAACATTCATACGAAACTACATCCGGGACTCGAGTGGCGTATTTTCATTTTTATTTTACTTATTTATTTATTTATTTATTTATTTTTTCAAGCATCTGAGCGGGCCGGAATCCTAAATCCTCGAATTTGATTGGCTAAGCACTCGCACGTGACCGGTCCAGCTTTTTACGATACGGCCTACGGGCCGGATTTTTTCCCCGCTGTAGCGATCAAGGCGGCTCCTTAAAAATATTAATGTTACAAAGTTAGTTGTAAACATCCCCGCGTGGTGAAAAATATGCTACCGAAATATAACTGTTAAGGAAAATGGATTCGGATGAGAGCGGACACAGTCAAAGCGAATTTTACTATCCGGAGGAAGAAACTTTGAACCAAATGACGCCTATAAATCGTGACGAAGTTGAACAAGAGAGGCACTTGAACAACATTCAAGATTTTATCTACTCACTTCGCCCTGATAACACTAAGAAAAAGACAACTTACGATCTGAACATTTGGCGAAGATTCTGTTCCACGTACAGTTGGAGAGACGAGAGCCTTGGAAAATATTCCTCCCGAAGAGCTAAACATACTTCTGTGCAGGTTTTTCATGGACGTCCGTAAAAAGGATGGCGCAGTCTACGAGCCAGGTTCGCTTGCCTCTTTCCAGAGAAGTATTTAACGCTACCTGAACGACAACTGTAGCACAAATATTATGAAAGTCCAAGAGTTCGCCAAATCGAGGGAGGTCCTCTCAGCTCGCAAACGAGACTTGGTAGTTAACAACGCCAAAGGAAATCGTCCACAGGCTGCCCGCGAGCTAACAGAAGATGAAGAGGACTTGTTGTTTCAAACCAGTCAGTTTAGGGAAGACGACCCCGAAGTTCTCCAGCGCACGGTATGGTGGGTGCTGTCTTTGCATTTCGGGTTTAGAGCTCGAGACGAGTGTCGAAGACTGCAGTAGGGTGATATAGCAGTAGAAGATGATCCAGTTAGTGGAAAGCAGGTCCTCGTGTGGAAAGCCGAACGAGGATCAAAAACAAGACAAGGAGACGGCCACTGCAGGGCTTTTAGTCCAAAAGCCCTCGCCACCAACACCGAGCGCTGTCCAGTTCGTCTATATCTTAAGTTTGAAAGCCATCGTCCTGACGAAATGAAGAAACCCGACGCCCCTTTTTTCCTGGCAGTAAACCATAGCAGAGCGCCTGACAATCCGGTCTGGTACAATCGAGCAGCTCTTGGAAAAAACAAGATCGGAGAATTTTTGACGAAAGCGGCTAAAAATGCAGGGCTGCCAGGAAATGTAACCAACCATTCTGTGAGGAAAACGTGCATTTCAAGGCTGATGGATGCTGAGGTTCCTGTTAATTATGGAGCACAACTGAGTGGGCATAAGAACCTAAAAAGCTTAGGTTCTTATAAGAGAGCTTCAGACGAACACCAGGGCAAGATGTCTTTGGTTTTGAGCAGCGGCAAGAAGAAATCTCCCATCTTCTCAAACGCTGTACCAGTTAAACCAGCAGTCAAAGCCTGGGAGCTAGAGCCATTCAAACAGCAAGAAAAAAAGCAAGCTTCTTTGGGCGAAGAGCAAGGCTTCTCTGGCCTTTTCACCGGTTCCAACATCAGAAGTATCGAGGGATGCACGTTTAATTTTTTATTCAACAGTGCACCTTGCAGCAGTAGCGAAAACATCAATCAGTCAAAGCCGCGAAAAGCCACGTTATTATTTCAGATTAAGTTAAAGTTTCCTCATGAAGTTAGATTTATCAAATTTATTACCAGTAAAACAAGTTTTAAGTCGTTAGGAACGGTAAACTTCGCCGTGTTAGCGTCCTTCATCCATATTAATTAAACATTCGATCGATATTTTTAGCCATTCGGAGCATGCGTTTTTTAACAGTTGCAGCGTCCTAGACTCACTTTTGACGTTTGACAGGTGATTTTCATTTCAATGACTTTGCATGGCTTTTTTCTTTTTACGTCTATGTGCGAACTCACGCGTCAAAATAAAAGCCTACCACTAAAAATCATGCTCACATTATTTTCTTTGGTCCTTGGTGCTTTGTAAGCACGCTGGAAGTTACGTCATGACCTTTACGTCATGATCTCTTTTCCCACTTTAAAAAGAAGACATCCAAAAGAAATAAATAAATATGTTATTTACCGGGCTAGGTCGGTCCGTATAAGAAAAAACTGTGCCCTTGGTCTTGAGTACGGCCCGAGGCCGAAGGCCTCGGGCCGTACTCAAGACCTCGGGCACAGATTTTTGCCATACGGACCTCCCGCCCGGTAAATAACATATATATCCTCACTAGTGAGGATATCGATGGTTTCACTGATATCAAGTTTTTCTCTTAAATTTCACTTTAATTCGTTGGTGTATGATCGAAATACCTTCGGGTCTTCCTCGAAAGTCTTCGGCAATCTTCGGAAATCTTCGAAAATTTTTGGAAAATATTCGGCAACGTTCGTGTGACCTTCGGACAAGTTTTGGAGTATCTTCGGAAATCTTCGGAAAGTGGTCGGAAATCTTCAGAAAATCGTCAAAAACGCCATCATCATTATGTCTATATAATAAAAAGAACATTACACTGAGGCGAGAAGATATGAGTTTAATGTTCTCGTGGCAAGAACAATATTGTTCTTGCCACTCGAACATAAAATTAATATCTTCTCGCCACAGTGTAATATCCTCTATATATTATTCCATCGTTGAACACGCGGATAGAATCGCGAGAGAACTGGACGACAGCGTAAAACGGAAGACTTGACGGGCTAGGGGATGGGGACCAAGATAAATAGAGGGACTGTAGACACCTTCGGAGAAAAGTGAATTCCCCGTAAATCAAGAAACGGAAAATTCCCATTAATTGCAAGGCGACGAAAGTGTCATCACCTTGACAACGGCCTATCATGATTGCGTCAAGGCAAATCTCCGCAAAATGTAATTGTAAAACGTGACTTTCTTCAATATTAATGATGGAGATGCCCCAACCAACAAATAAAAGCTAACCGCAAGCAAACCAGTGTGAATGTGAACAATTAAGCATTTGGTGAGTGTGTTTTACTCCATCAACAGATTATAACCAGTTTCTACCTTGTCCAGGCCTAAACTAAAGCAGATATGATATCGTCTATTCTGAAATGCTTGGTTACCAAATGGGGTGTCATATGGTCCCCTTGCCTGCCGTAGAGAGTGGAAACTGGGGATTAGAATGCCACAGCTTGCTTTATCGTGTGCTTGCAATTGCTCTTCGTGAACAACATAATATACCCTACACAGCTGAATGCTGTGTTTTGGAAAGATTAGAAGATGTCGATCGTTTTCGGAACGGGTCGGCCAACAAATAAAATTGCTTGAAAGCCTGGAAATGAGCAAAGTTCTTGCTCGTTCTCACGAGATAACAAATGAGCCATGTACGAGTTCAAACTACCAAAACACTGACAAAAAAGTGTGACTACTGACTTAAAACAAACTTTTATGCTGACATAAACACCTCAGATGTCGAAAAAAAATCAGGAATCGTCGTAAACAGAGGTTCGAAGATGTGTCAAACAGCATGAATTTGGATAAAATGGTATTCAACGAAGAAAGTTCAATGGTAATCATCAAAACCAACATAAACATTGCGGAGCTAGCATTTAATTTACTCAAACGTAATATACAATGTTAGGTTAAAATCCTAATCATCCGCGTCCCATTATCTCTCTGGGATCTTGTGAAATCTAAAAATGCCCTTACGACCTTATTCCCCCGTGTAAGGCGTGAATCCTGTTTTTTTTTTTAAGAGTCTCAGAATTTTAATGAAGATAAAGTAAGGATGAGGTATTAACTGTGTGTGTAATGGTAAATGGGGAAAGAAGGCGATTAGAAAGGAAACAGACTGTAAGGAAATTAAAGACAATAGAAACAGGTATTATTTCATCGCATTTAATTTTAGCGTAGCCAAAGACTAAATTCCAAACTACATCCAAGATCGTACATCGACTGACTACAAGTATCCATTTACAGAGGAGTTCTAGCTGGAATGTGGTAACCGGGGCGGGGTTACTTCATATTGTGGACTACAAAGAGAGAGGATGCCTTTTTTCACCCACGTAGTTTGCTTGAGGATAGAGACGATTTATTAATACTAATTATTTCAGAGAGCACGAGGACGTAAAATACAGGCAAAGATATCTCGCTGTGTGTTAGTTTTCAATACAATAAAGAGACATTTCTAACAATGAAAATGATCAAGGGAGATTTTTTTTCCGTTACCAAAAATAACCGTTGAGAATGACTATTGATTGTCAGGGCGATTGCTTTACTATAAAACAATTTTGTTTATTTACATGCCATTTGTTTGTTTGTTTTTTAATTAAGTCTGTATTTTCATGGGATCTAAGTGTCTGATATTTTTGCTTTTTTGAAGCATCGCCACGCATGAAATATTTATTTAAATCGGTGCCCAAACTTGCTAAACTGACCGTAAACGACACCGTAAACTGACTAAATTAAATTTGCAACTGGATTAACTTAAAAGGCCTTTTCCGCTTTCGGGACATTTTCATTCTCGTAGTAACTGCAGTTATTGTTTGGCTGTAAAAGATGTTTCAAATTTACTGCACCGAGGCAGGTTTAGGTTTGGAGGCGCGGAAAGTTATGGAGGGCTGACCTAAACCTGAAGAAACAGAGTGTCGTCTACAAGGTAACACCTTGAACGAAGTGTTTCGTGACATATACCAAGAATCACAAACCATTCGTTCTCTTCTTTCACAGGCGTCCAAGAGGCTATTGGGTTGTTGTCTAGAATAGACAGGTGCGCAATGTTTTGCTGTTTAACTGGATCTATCTGCTGATCAATCACCGTAAACTTCACTTTCATTTTGAAAGGCCAGGGTAATTTAGCGTCATATTCACCGTTCATTACAGCAATAACCAACGACAGGCGTTGTTGCGCGTATCACCACGTTTGTGACCAACTTGTCTCGCAGCAAAATACAGTGTTACTGGCAACATTTTCCTTCAACTTGTCTCGCAACATTGTTGCATTGCAAGTTGAAACACATTGTTGCGCGTATNTTATGGAGGGCTGACCTAAACCTGAAGAAACAGAGTGTCGTCTACAAGGTAACACCTTGAACGAAGTGTTTCGTGACATATACCAAGAATCACAAACCATTCGTTCTCTTCTTTCACAGGTGTCCAAGAGGCTATTGGTTTGTTGTCTAGAATAGACAGGTGCGCAATGTTTCGCTGTTTAACTGGATCTTTCTGCTGATCAATCACTGTAAACTTCACTTTCATTTTGAAAGGCCAGGGTAATTTAGCGTCATATTCACCTCTCATTACAGCAATAACCAACGACAGGCGTTGGCTAAAACACGAATCGAAGTTAAGATAAATACGTACTTTTAATTTGTATCCATAACTGTCTGTTCTATCTGTATAGAAAGGAACACTATCTTTACTAAATTTTTCGCCGATCTTTGCTTGTCTCCAAATATCACTAAAATTGTTAATTCTCTAGATAAACATTCGTGTGTCCAGTTTCTCCACTACTTTCCGTGTTGCTTCAAGTTTCTCTTCTGTCTCATTTAACTTAATATGTGCATCATTTAATTTTGCGTCAGTGTCATTTAACTTAGCTTCTGTGTCATTTAACTCAACTTCTGCGTTAGTTAAGGTCCAGTAATACGCGCAATATTTTCCTTCAACTTGTCTCGCAACACTGTTGCATTGCAAGTTGAAACACATTGTTGCGCGTATTACCACGTTTATGACCAACTTGTCTCGCAGCAAGATACAGTGTTGCAAGCCGAGTCTGCAGAATTCTACAGGTATAATTACTTAATCGTGTGTAAAATAAAGATGGCTCCTTTTTTTAACATAATTTAGCATTTCGACGAAGTTGCACTTCGACTTCTGGCCGTCATTTTCTTCTTAATTTTCCGTGCCAGCGAAGTTCTCTCAGTATGA